AACCGGCAATGGCTCGTAGGCTTTCAAAAATGACCTTGACTCCCAGGTCGACCCAGCCTTGATCGGATACCAGGTGCAGTCCTGGGAAGTAAAGGCGGCCGGCGTGATGCTGACCACATCACCCACCAAGTGCCGATTGGTCTATAAAAATATAGGTCCAGCCCTAAATAAGCATCACGCCTAAAAGCGTGGAGAAGGGATCCTAACTAATAGCTCGTAGACAGCTTTTCACAGACATCACATTTGTATGTATGCCCCCCCACCCCCCCCCCCCCCCATAATTCGACATTCTGAGATTATAAAAGCTCTGTCTGAATGGCAGACAAACAGAGAAAATCCCAATACCCCTTTCAACCTGCAAAGGATGTAATATTCCCACCCCCCCCCACCCACTTCTTTTTCTTTCTTTTGTGACGGCCACGCAAACATGGCCAACGACCTCTTAGAACCCCCCCCCTCCCCCCCCAAGCTCCAGGAGGTCGTCCATGATGTAACCTGCAGGCTGCGTAGGTAAGGACACTTGCAGTCCAGCGTGGGTAAGGACACTTGCAGTCCAGCGTGGGTAGGAACTCTTGCAGTACAGTGTGGGTAGGAACTCTTGCAGTACAGCGTGGATAGGGACTCTTGCAGTCCAGCGTGGGTAGGAACTCTTGCAGTCCAGCGTGGGTAAGGACACTTGCAGTCCAGCGTGGGTAGGAACTCTTGCAGTACAGTGTGGGTAGGAACTCTTGCAGTACAGCGTGGATAGGGGCTCTTGCAGTCCAGTGTGGGTAGGAACTCTTGCAGTACAGCGTGGATAGGGACTCTTGCAGTCCAGCGTGGGTAGGAACTCTTGCAGTCCAGCGTGGGTAAGGACACTTGCAGTCCAGCGTGGGTAGGAACTCTTGCAGTCCAGCGTGGGTAGGGACACTTGCAGTCCAGCGTGGGTAGGAACTCTTGCAGTACAGCGTGGATAGGGACTCTTGCAGTCCAGCGTGGGTAAGAACTCTTGCAGTCCAGCGTGGGTAGGGACTCTTGCAGTCCAGCGTGGGTAGGAACTCTTGCAGTCCAACGTGGGTAGGGACTCTTGCAGTACAGCGTGGGTAGGAACTCTTGCAGTACAGCGTGGATAGGGACTCTTGCAGTCCAGCGTGGGTAGGAACTCTTGCAGTACAGCGTGGATAGGGACTCTTGCAGTCCAGCGTGGGTAGGAACTCTTGCAGTACAGCGTGGATAGGGACTCTTGCAGTCCAGCGTGGGTAGGAACTCTTGCAGTCCAGCGTGGGTAAGGACTCTTGCAGTCCAGCATGGGTAGGAACTCTTGCAGTCCAGCGTGGGTAGGGACTCTTGCAGTCCTGCGTGGGTAGGAACTCTTGCAGTCCAGCGTGTGTAGGGGCTCTTGCAGTACAGCGTGGGTAGGAACTCTTGCAGTACAGCGTGGGTAGGGACTCTTGCAGTACAGCGTGGGTAGGAACTCTTGCAGTCCAACGTGGGTAGGGACTCTTGCAGTCCAGCGTGGATAGGAACTCTTGTTGCAGTCCAGCTTGAGCAGGGACTCTTGCAGTCCAGCGTGGGTAGGAACTCTTGCAGTACAGCGTGGATAGGGACTCTTGCAGTCCAGCGTGGGTAGGAACTCTTGCAGTCCAGCGTGGGTAGGGACTCTTGCAGTCCAGCGTGGGTTGGGACTATTGCTTGTGATTGTCTCCTTTTCCTCGCTTGGGGTTTATAGTCATTGGCTGTGTTGTGTTTATATACTTCTTTTTTGGACTGGAATACATTTTTTTTTTTATTTTCTTCTTCACGATTGTAGTATGTAGATTTAACATTACAAGGTTGCTAATTAAATGGATAAGATCTGGATAAACCCGTTCAAACGTTAAGCCATATCATCATCATCATCAGGTGCCTTGCCGACTAACGTTGGCGATTATTCCTCTCGACAATCTGCGATCTCCTGCAGCATGTATCAGTTCGTGTGCTGACACACCTCCATGCCATGAAACAAGACTGTCAAGCATCTTCTCTCGTTGTCTTCCTCTATCCCTCCTTCCACAGATCTTTCCCAGTGGTCACAGCATGTTCCATTTTCTCTCTTCTCATAACATGGCCGAAAAACGATGACTGTCTCCTTCTGGTGTCTGTGATAAGTTCCGTTTCTTTCAAAACCTCTTGGTTGCTCTTTTTGGCTGTCCAATGTATTTTGAGCATTTTCCTGTAAAGCCACATGGACCACAATATAGCCCTCCCATAAATATGGTCTGATGGCTGAACGCGGTTTCTGGGACCTCTCCACGGGTGATCCTCATGGTGGCATTTTGTGTCATCGGGTGTTTATGTGATGTCCTGTTGGGGTAAAAGAAGATAGATAGATAGATAGATAGATAGATAGATAGATAGATAGATAGATAGATAGATAGATAGATAGATAGATAGATAGATAGATAGATAGATAGATAGATAGATAGATAGATAGATAGATAGATAGATAGATAGATAGATAGATAGATAGATAGATAGATAGATAGATAGATAGATAGATAGATAGATAGATAGATAGATAGATAGATAGATAGATAGATAGATAGATAGATAGATAGATAGATAGATAGATAGATAGATAGATAGATAGATAGATAGATAGATAGATAGATAGATAGATAGATAGATAGATAGATAGATAGATAGATAGATAGATAGATAGATAGATAGATAGGTAGATAGGTAGGTAGATAGGTAGATAGGTAGATAGGTAGATAGGTAGATAGGTAGATAGATAGATAGGTAGATAGATAGATAGATAGATAGATAGATAGATAGATAGATAGATAGATAGATAGATAGATAGATAGATAGATAGATAGATAGATAGATAGATAGATAGATAGATAGATAGATAGATAGATAGATAGATAGATAGATAGATAGATAGATAGATAGATAGATAGATAGATAGATAGATAGATAGATAGATAGATAGATAGATAGATAGATAGATAGATAGATAGATAGATAGATAGATAGATAGATAGATAGATAGATAGATAGATAGATAGATAGATAGATAGATAGATAGATAGATAGATAGATAGATAGATAGATAGATAGATAGATAGATAGATAGATAGATAGATAGATAGAAAGAAAAATGTCAGCCCCCCTCTCCCCCTTTTTTTTTCAAACCTACTTCATTGTTTTCTTTGCGTCATCACGCTGTGGTGAAAATACTTCCAGGATCCATTCCAAAACTACACTGTTATCTTCACAGGCTAGTATAATTTGACTCGACGAATTGTTTTCTATTTTGAATTCCTTCCTGATGTGATTTATTGACATTCCATTGTCAGTGGGGATTCGAGTTATCTCCCTTTTTGCTGCGATCTCGCGAAAATGTGATGATCTTATGAAGATTTTCTTAATTTATGGAATTATTACAATGACAATGGTGACTTTGCTTCATCATCGTCAGCATTACCTAGCAGGCCATTTAAAGATAGGATGACCACAATACTCTGCAATGAAAACAGAACTTCCCACTAATATTTTGAGCTGAAAAGGAGACATCTTAAGCAAGTCAACCAAAATTTCACCCATCCCCTTTTTTCCCACTAGACATTATGCTCTTTAACATACTTTAGGACACAATTAACAAAAACATGCTACTATGAAAATTTGAGGCCTTATATTATTTTAAACATATCTTGTAATTATCAATATGATAAAAATGTAATTTGTATTATTTCACATTTTTCTTTGATTTTGGTTGTGATTGATGGTAAATGTACTATGAATAATTAGACAATCTTTATAGCATTGTGTCATGAACATGGTGGATATATTGTTTCTTTATTAAGCAATCATTGATTATTCTCCTCGATTTTATCTTTAGGGCAAACTGCTTCAAAGATATCATGGACATTGTTTATCCTTTTGTATGTTTTGATATGTTATGATACCAGCTAACAAAGAGAGCCACGCTGAAGAAATACAGTGAACACGCCAATCATAAAACGACGCTGTCAAGAACAGCCTTAAAGAAATGAAAATCACCTGATGCAACATATGAAAAGAATATACACACACCAAACACACACACATACAGAGAGAGAGAGAGAGAGAGAGAGAGAGAGAGAGAGAGAGAGAGAGAGAGAGAACGAACGAACGAACGAACTTATTTTCAAAGGGTTACAAATTAGGCACGCATGCCTGTCTTACATTCGGCTCTTCCAAACTTCCATCTTTCACACAGCAGTTGTATTTCATCAATGAAGAATGTTATATTCATGTAATGATATGCATATTATGGATATGAAGTCAAAAACAAAAGCATGGGTGATAAAATATGAAAAAAGAGAGAGAGAGAGAGAGAGACAGAGACAGAGAGAGAGAGACAGAGAGAGAGAGAGAGACAGAGAGAGAGACAGAGAGAGAAACAGAGAGAGAGAGACAGAGAGACACAGAGAGACAGAGAGACAGAGAGAGAGACAGAGAGACATAGAGAGAGACAGAGAGAGACACAGAGAGAGACAGAGAGAGACAGACAGAGAGACAGAGACACAGAGAGAGACACAGAGAGAGACAGAGAGAGACAGAGAGACAGAGAGAGAGACAGAGAGACAGAGAGACACAGAGAGAGAGAGAGAGAGAGAGAGAAAGAGAGAGAAGATCATAACAGTTCTATGTGGTAAATGGAATAACTGAAGATTCTTTGTTTATGGTTTATTCAACTGATCAACATCAGGGTACACGGATTCAACCCACAAGTGCTCCGTTCTACTTCTAACTCAAGCCTGAGTTTACAGAATCTCAGCGAGGTGCACGAACTCCGTTGCACCGGCGTGGATCCTGAAATACTTTGGGTAAATTTTTAACTTCAAATTTTGCCCGGGCAGCGCCGTTAGGCTACTCTTTTCGATTTTGAACTGCCAATAATACACACGGACGTCCGATCTTACTACCCAGAGACCAGGGGAAATTACTAATAGAGAGGAATAAGAAAGAAAAAGACGCATCACTGGACCTACCGCAAGCTTTCAGCACTTTTATATACACTCCTGGTGGATGTTCCAATGGGCTTCCAATCTGTTCCACGCCCCTGTGGTTAACAAAAAGAAGCAAATTTCACTGTAAAACCTCGATGGTTTGACCGGCAGTTTCTGTTATCCGCCATCGTCTTTAAAATGCTCGCATATCCACAAAGAAACAGACATCTTTAAAATTGTTCGCAGGTAACTTTGACACTCTGCTGTAAGATGGTGGAAGATAGGTTGATTCGACGCGCAGACGGCTCGAGCCCCAAAGACACAGAAGGAGATGACATATTATTTTAAAGTAAAGTAACGGAGGTTTATAGTAGTATAATATGTTTATGTAATTCCATCCATCATGTAGCAGGTCCTTTGCAGAACGTCGCTCGCATCAGTCTGCCTGAAAGAAACTCGGTCTCTCGCCAGCTCCCACGTCTCGTGTACTTTCATTCTCAAAGAGTCACTTATATCCTATGCTCATCTTCTTTTCGGTCGGCCTCTGCTCCTCCTTCCTGGTACCATGCCGTCTGCTATATTTTTTTCCCAATCCGTCGTAGCGCTTGATATGACCAAAATATTTCAGTTTCCGAGACAGGATGCTGTTTATTAGCCAATCTTCATTGATGTTCAGATCTTTCAAGATGTCAGTATTTCTCCTCTTCTTTGTCCAAGATGTTCTGAAATTGATGTAATTACTAGTCTTATATTCAAGACTATATTGATCGTTTTAGCACCCATGTCTGGATTATATTGACAGACAAAAAATGAAATGGTTCGGCTATCTAGTGAGAATGCAGCCAGACCAAACTGCAGATGAGACTTTTTTTTTTTTTTTTGCAGAACATCTGGGAGAAAGGCGAGAGGAAGACAAAGAAAGAGATGGATACATGGCGCAGCCTAAACCTGCAGAAAGATAAACAAATCCATCACCCAAGCCACCCGAGAAGCGCAAGACAAATACAGAAAACCGGGGAGGGGGGGGGGGATGACGCTGACCCCATCATCATCAATTTCCAACTGGTCTATAAAAATATAGATCGACCCAGCCTTTAACAAGTACCAGATAAAAGTAATGGGAAGTCAAGGCGACCGGCGTGATGTTTACCACATCATCTATCGAGTACTGATTGGTGTAGAACTGTATGAGCAATATGCCTGTAAGTGAAGAAAGTAGTTCTTTTACTAAAAGGCAAGGAGGCTACTGTGTCGTAATAGCAAGACACTCGCCTCTGGCCCGAAATTCTTTGGTCGAAACCGCATATTTTTCCCCTTAAAAAAAAATGCCCTTGACCCTCAGATCAACCCAGATTACAATGGGTACCAGGTTAATTCATGGAGAGTAAAGGCGGCCTGTGTGCTGTGGACCACATCAATCACCGAATGCCGATTCGTCTATAACAATATGTTTAGCATCATATACCCAGTGTACAAGTGGAGTAAGACAAAGGTTGCTTTTTAAAAATTTTTTAATTACAGGGTTTAATGACTGTTGACTTTTTGACATCAGTTATTTGCGCACCGTAATTAAATTTGTGCTAATAGACTAAAATGGTTGGGGCCTATTGAAAGAATGTCAGATAACAGAGTTGTGAAAACTGTATACACAAGGGAGATGAACAGTCGTAGACAACGAGGCAGATCAAGAAGACCAAGTAGGTTATTACGGGTATTTATAATAATATTGATTTATGTTTTTAGTTCGTTAGCGAGGCGGTCCTTGAAGGGTTAATCTGGTTACGTGACATGGTCTGTCCATTCACACTGTCCAAAGACGTGCAGTAGCACAGCAGTCCAAGTGTAACGCCGCCCTGGGTGTCCTCAACTGGAAAAAGGGGCGGGGGTACAAAATGGTTAAACTATGATATAAATGATAAATGATATAAATCTATCTCGACTGAGTGCCAGTCATAAGTGCCAAAACCTGGCAGTTCAGCCTTCTTGGGCCCCCCACACCCTCATTTTTAAGTGGGGGGGGGGGGGGGGTAGGGGAAGGGGAGGTAAACTCCCAGCCCTCTGGACAATTTGTAACGGGGTTAAGCGGGCTCCCTGACCACTCATGGATTTATCTTTTAAAATTTTATTTATACGTTTCATATTCTTACCACTATATTGTTGCATCTATTTGTTTCTTTAGCACGTAATATTTATTATTTGTATTATTATTGCAAACTGAAACAAGGTTTTCCTCGTGTGGATTACGGGGCCATATTGTGGGGACAATAGTAAACCCACTGCCTTCCCAACAAGCATGTCGCAGGAGTCGACTAATTGGGAGCTTTCTTTGAAATCAGAGTGCATCTGCCCGAGTGGCAAGGAACAACCAACTGCACACAAATAAGTCAGTAAAAAGGATGTACACGCAAAACTCGGCCCTGGCACGAAGCCAAAGTTCGAATGGACGAACAACCAGGACTTTTTGTCGAAGCTTTTAACCCGTGAACAAAGAGAAAGGGATTTGACTAATGTTTTTCGCTTTCATGTGTACATAATCTGCTTCTTCACAGACGCCCAGCCCTCAACCTTTTGCAGTCATTTCTCCCCTATTCTCACTCTCTTCCCGAATTCCCCCTCTTTGCAGCACGTCCCGTGGCATTTTGTTCTAACGAATCTACACCAGTACGTGTATAATTCATGTCCCACTTGCACACATCTGTATCTCTTGGTAGAAGCCGACTTCGACACTTCAAACCAATCTGGTTCAGAGAGAGTTAAATATACTTACCTGATTCCAACTTCAATCCCGCACGGCTGCGCTATAATTCGAGCAAAATTGCTGATGTGGTCGTATTGAGTGTAGATGCTGCCTAAACTCGGGACACTGGTGACTACTGGATCGCCGAATGGTGGCGCGCCAAAAGAGTTCCTGTTGCCATCTTCTGTATACTTTCAAAGATTAGAAACACATTAAATATATGTCAGTTTCATATGATTAATTACTATCTATAAAAACTATCACTATTTTTAGGGCGGTGTAGACGGGGGTGGGGGGGGGGCGAGGGGGGCGGGGGGGGGGGGCGGAATTGAGCCTCGAGATTCAGGGCCGCCTGGTTAGTGTTGTCGCCATGGACTGTGCAGGTTAGGATGTTTAATTTTGCCCTCAAAAGAAAAACTCCATCACCTTAGCGGGGATCGAACTCGGGTCTCCCGCATGAGAGCCCGACGTTGTAATCGCTCGGCCAGCCGCTTCTCGTGACTAATTAGAGCAGACAAAAAAGTGTAGCTGAACTAGTGGGAAGTCGTGGTCAGTTCGCATGTGCAAGCGTTACCAAGTGAACATTACCAGGGGATCTCGCCGACGCTTAACACTCAAAGAAAGGCGAGACGGAAATACAATCAGACAACTACTGGTACTATCGGAACTGGAACTCTTCATTTGCTGCTGAAGCTAGGGACGGACCGCTTATGGGAGTGTCCCGTGGTCGCCAAGACCATCGGAAAACACATATTCGCTGAAGTAATGAAGTAGTAACGAAAATAATTTTTTGGCTCAGGGTCACCAAAACATGAGGAACTGTGTTAAAGGGGTCGCCGCATTAGGAAAGCTGAGAACCATTGACCTAGACAGCGTTTCTAAAAATAGGCGCTGCTATCCCTAGGGGTTGCTGGGACCATCTGAACGGGGGAAGGGGGAAGCAGCCTCGGGTGCAGCTGAAAAGCTGACAAGCAGTGAATGAAATACGAAGACAGTGGTAGAGGGAGGCAGGGAAAAAGAAAAAAAGGGATGGGGGTGTGGGGGGGGGGGAGGGGGGGGGGGGGGACATGTTGATAAACTGTTCGTGCTTTTCTCAAAGTGATGTAGCAGATTAAAATTGTTTAATTTTCAAAATAAACAAATAAATGATGTTTGAACCAATCAAATTCATGCTTCTAGTTAAAGAATATGTTATTCTTATGGCCTGAGGTGAAGCTTCCACTAGCAGCAGTTACCCACGACATGTGTTTTTGAATAAGAGATGTTCTGTACCAACGATTTGAATGTATAACATCTTCAGCTATACTTACTGTTCTCAATCAGTTTTTTTTTAAAAAGGGAGTCTTTCAGATTAATGTAACAGAGCCAAGGTTCTTCGTGACTGTATATAACTGACTAAATACTGTCATTGACAAGTCTCCACAAGCCTACTCGAACCAGAGATATATTTATAGAATTAATGCTTGTCGATGCATTTGCAGTTTAGCCGGTCACCAAAATAACCACATCCTATATGGAGAAATTAGAGAACTGGGTATTGAATTAGGTTCTGAAACCTTCATTGACCTTTTCGTATTTCAAGACGATTGTGTTACAGTGAGTTTTAGACAGGCATTTGAATCACAGTCAGGGATGAAATTCCACAACAACAGAGAAAATAAAACCCAGGCGGTAATTTTTAGAGGTCAGGTGTCACCCATACAGCACGATCCTCTTTATGGCCTCCCTTGTTTACTCAAAGGGAAAGATGACACGAACACGTGTGGAATAAAGCACGCTGCACAAGATGTGGGATCAAAAGAGCCTAGTTTTCTGCACGCGTCTCACAGCTTCCATCATAGACTAACTGCCAACACTAGACATCAGGCTCAGACAGAAGAAGAACAAATCAAATCACATCGAAAGGTGTACAAAGACTCACTGTCATGAAAACAAAAACCGGATGGACAAGATTGGAGAGCCAATAAACACAGGAATGCTAATCTACATTAGATCAGTTAGGTCTTTAATGGAATACGCCCTAATCAGCGAAAACGAACTAGTGAAACCTACTGAGGGTTCAAAACAAAAGTTTATGAATAACATAGGAAAGAATGAGACACCCCCCCCCCCTTCCACACCTCAACCTAACCCCCGTAGAAAGTACAAATCCCTTACTTGGTTTAAAAAGCTTCAGATGCTTCCAAACTATTTGCTGATTTTAAGAAAAAGAGACGATTCTGAAGAAAAATTATAAGTCATTTTGCAAGAGAAACTTTGAAACAACATGCAAATATAAAAACTGACATAATGGTGTGTGCATCTCTCATATCAGAACTATGGATTAACTGTTCATTCTTATACACTACAGTTACAGAAGAGAACACCATACTATCACTGATTCTGTTGATCATGTGTGAGTTTTGGCGAATTATGACCGCCTATGTTTTTTTACCTTTGGCGTGGAACATGATGACGATGGTGGTGTAACTCGGCAGAGGGGGGCGCTGGGCGATACTGAAAAGCTGATGGGCCAAACAAGCTTGAGAAGCACTGTTTGACACTATGAGCGGATGGATAGCTGACTTACCGTGTATACGCCATTGACAGCTTCAGTCTCCAGACGAGAGGCGTGGAAATAGGTGTCGTTGCCCACCCACAGCATCACGTTGACCTGGATACCTCGGATGAATGTCTTCCCCAGCCGCCGTCTGCCCCAAGCAAAGAACTGTCCAGACAAGAGATGGAAAAAAAAAAGGGAGGCGGGGGACTGGTGTTAGTTTTAGGGGTGCCAACCATAACCTGCAGTTTAGTTCCCTGCACCCTTAACCCCCCCCCCCTCACCCATCCCCCTCCTTCCTCCCGCCATACCTTTCTAAACAGGATTTTTAAAAAGGTAAAGTTCCCTTTTCACGCCTTAGCCGCATCGGGTAAATGGGAAGAGCGTCCCATATTTTCACAGACCAATCGGCACTGGATGGGTAATATGGTCAGCATTACGCTGGAAGGATGATAAACAGTCTTATTTAACCATTTTATTAGGATGTTTTCCTTAAAAGTATTTACTGACGTATTTCATGCTATTTTAAGAATAGTTTTTGTTTATTTATTTGTTATTAGGCTTAATAATAATAATAATAATAATAATAATAATAATAATAATAAAAAATAATGTGCTTGGAACATCGGCCTCCTTCTTGCTCCCCAGTAAAAATGTGTCAGGTCACCAGCGACCGGGTTACCCATTATCTGACCGGTGGACGACATCGTCGCAGGTCGGGACAGTATTTGGGTCTGTCTCCTTTGAACGCATCAACACAGCAGGAGTCATTTTTTAGGGCCCTTGTTCTGCCTACAGGAGTGAAGGCTGCCCAGCATGAACACACCATAACAAATCTATCTTTTTAACAGCACTTTAAGAAGGGAATACTAGCACAGTAGTGCACAGGCTGTGTAGCACCGGCGAGGATCCTGAGTTATATAGAACTGAAAAGGATTCCGCCCCCCCCCCAAAAAAAAATCCATCTCCCCCCCCCCCCCAAGTCAGTTTTTACACAAGAACTCGCCTGTCGGTTTAAATTAAAAAGCGATCACAAGAAGAAGCAGAAGAATGTTTGAGTTTGTGTGTGTGTTTGTGTGTGTGTTTGTGTGTGCGTGTGTGTGCGCGTATGCGTGCGCGCGCGCGTATGTGTGTGTTTGTGTGTGTGTGTGTGTCTAAAAGGGGTTGGGTGGTGGCCTCAAGGGGCTTAAGCATTAAGTGCTTAAAAATAGCAATCATAATGCTCTGCATATAATTTTTTGAAGAATGACCTTGGCTTCCAGGTCGAGCGAGCATTAAATAGGTACCATGTAAAGTCATGGGACGTAAAGGCAGTCGGTGTGATGATGACCCCATCCTCCACGAATGCCGACTGGTCTGTAAAGGATCGAATAAGAAAGAAAAGGAAAGATACATTGAAACATACCCTGAAATCACACATCCCATTGACGGTCTCTACATTATCCGGAGTGCTGCCCGTGCAAGCTCGTGTGGAGATGTGCGTTGCCAGAAATTTGCACACCAAGGGGATCTTCGTGTGGCCGCCGCTAAAGTCTCGCACCATCGGGTCGTTGAATATGACAGCAAAGTCCTCGTCTAGGAGAGAAACAAACATACCAAACTAACATTTTACTTTGAGGTTTAAACAACGGATCAATATCATGGCACACGTGTAGTAACCCATACGTGCTCCGTTTTTCTTCCAACTCAAATCTGAGTCCGAAGAAGCTCAGCACAGTAGTGCACAGGCTCTGTAGCACCGGCGAGGATCCTGAAATACTTTGGGTAGATTTTTAACTCCAAATATAAAGGTAAAAGGTAAAGTCGGGAGATGTGAACCAACGTTTTTTGCACACGGTTATAAACCATTTAGTGCTCTGCCACCAGTACGGACAGCTGATAATAATTGTCTGCTTGTGTCGCCGTTCGCACGTAACTCTGTAGCTACAGCGACGTTCCTCCATTTACCCCTGGTACCCATTTCCTCGAGGCTGGGTTAACCCCGGGAGCCGCCCGGTTTCGAACGCCGGCCGTGGGCTGCAGCGAGTCGCAACTGGATTTGAAAGCGAGCTTTTTATCGACTGCCTCCAAAGATTGCCCGGGCAGCGAAGTTAGGCTACTCTTTTCGATTTCCAACTGCCAATGCACACGGGCGTCTGATGCTGATCTCACTACCCAGAGACCAGGAGAAATTACTAGAAGTCCAAGTCCACGTGAAAAAATATAAACCTTTACCGGGAATTGAACAAGGAACCTTTAGCACTCGAGGCGGATACTATGCCTCGAAACCATGCAGCGCGCAGCTAACATTTTACTGATCAAGAGTTGGTTTTTACACACACAGGACTGCAGGTTACACATGGCTGGTTCGGCCGTTACCTGTGACCTGATTATAACTTCTCTGGATATTGAACAGGTTATCTGGGAACTGATTGAGATGACACGAGGCAGAACATATGTGGTTAGACATGACTACCAATGCCACACGTCATGGACTGTTTTTAAAGGGGTACACAATTTTAGGCAAGAGAAAAAGTTGGCAAGAATGAACAAACAGTTTATGTTAGCTTTACAAAAATCGATCACAATAAACAAGCAAAAGACGTTGCGGCGATTAGCCATCATCAGCACATAACGAACAACACAGTACACATACTCAAATATGCTCTGACTATGAAGTGACCTCATAGGACTCTTATGTACAAAATAAATGATACTCATCTGTGTCCCTGGCGAAAAACTTGGTTCAAGAATATGACTGGGACAGCTACTAGCCTATTTATCACCAAAGTGCAGACGAGGAGCGAAAAACGGGGTCAGTATGCCAGCGTACACTGAGTGTCTAAAGAGGGAGGGAGGCGTTGGCCAATAAGGCGTAACCAGGGTTGGGTCGTAGGGGTGACATTTGTCCATCCCCATGGAATAAAAGTGGTGCTTTTGGATGGGGCGAGACAAAAACATTGGACTGATCCGTGATTCTGGTGATCTTATGAGATGGCGAAACATAGCAGCCTATGCTTACTGGCACGACAAATGAGGGTGATGATAATCAAATCGGATGTTTTGAGCCAAAAGGCGCAGATATAGCAGCCTATCTCTAAACCACACAACATGCTAAAGAATCTTTTGAAAAGAAGATACACTTTGTAGATTTTCTATGACAGAAAAGTTCCTTGAAGTGGCACATTTCGTTGAAGTTAGTGGCAGCTCAAGCTTCTGGGCAAACGCGTCACTCCATAAGGGCCGTATTTAGTCATATACAACTGCACCGAAGGAGTCGCCATGGCGTAGCGGTTAAACGCTCTTTTGCGGATCGGAGGTCGTGGGTTCGCTCCCAGGCGGAGCCGGACTTTTTTTTCAAAAATGACCTTGGCTCCAAGGTCGACCCAGCCTTATGTGGGTACCAAGTGCAATCCTGGGAAGTAAAGACAGCCGATGTGATGCGACCATATCACCCATCTTGTGCCTTTGGTCTATAAAATATAGGTTTAACCCTATACACCCAATAAGCCTGAAAGGCGTGGAGAAAGGTACTTTACTTTACAACTGCACCGAGCTTCAATATTTTGGGGAAACCAAATTTTGAGAGCGACGAAATATCACTCGAGTGGCTTGGGTGATGGATTTATTCATCTTTTTGCAGATTTCAGCTACACCATATGTCCATCTCTTTCTTGGTCTTCCTCTCGCCTTATTCCCAGATGTTACCGCTGTAAAACGTCTCATATGCAATTTGGTCTGGCTGCATTCTCATTAGATGGCCGAACCACTTCATTCTTTGTCTGTCAATTTAATCCAGACATGGTCTTATTCCAACTCTTTCTCTCTAATGCTGTCATTTGTAACCCTGTCTCATCGTGTGTTGTTAGTGACTTGCAGAGACAGCGTATTTTACATGTAGTTATTAAAATAGCAAAACAAGCATCCTAGGAACGTTTCAGTGAGTCATTAGCAGAAAATGAGAAAACCGTCAGCAGAAAATATTTCAAAGTAGTTAAAAATATGCGGACAAGAAATGAGAGCTACAACCCCACTGAAATAATTAATGATAAGACAGGAAGGCCATTGACAGATCCACCCGAGATAGCAGAAAGATGGAGGGAATACTTCAATGAACTATTTAATCCTCTAGAAGATCATCAGGAAAGAACAACTGAAGAGCACAGAGCAACAGTGTTAGAACCACACATGCTAATGGATGATATAGAAAAAGGTATTAAGCAGTTTCCCAAATATAAAGCACCAGGAGCTGATAGATTACCAACAGAAATAATTCAAACAGCAGGTGAAAGCAGCATCAGATGGCTTTCCAGAATATTCAATGCAGCATAGGTACAACAAACGGCCCCTATTGATTGGCAACATGCAATAGTTATACCATTGTGGAGGAACAAAGGAAGCAAACGAGAATGCGGTCAATACCAAGGCATCTCTCTTTTAAGCCATGTTAGCAAAATGTATGCCAAGATAATAGAAACAAGACTGAGACCAGTAATAGAACCACAGCTGGCAAAAGAACAGATGGGATTTAGGAGAAATAGAAGCTGCACAGATGCAATCTTCACACTTAAACAGTTAATAGAAAAGAACATTGAATACAATAAGAACTTATTTGTGGCATTTGTAGACCAGGAGAAGGCATTTGACAGAGTCGACAGACAATTATTATGGAAAGTAATGGCAAGATATGGAGTAAGCGAACACCTCATCGAAGTGTGCACAAGTTTATACAGGGATTGTAGAAGTGTAGTTAGAATAAATCAGGGAACATCTCATCCATTCACAGTGACATCTGGAGTAAGACAGGGGTGTGTCTTATCATCACTGCTGTTTATCACCTACATCGACAGTAAATGCAAGAATGCCAAGCCCATGAATGAAGATCTTAGTAAGATCAACGAATTACTTTTTGCAGATGACCAGGCCTTGACAGCAGATACAGCCATGAAATTGCAACAACATCTAACATCCATGAATGAAGAATGGGAAACAAATAATATGAGAATCAACAATGAAAAGACAGAAGTAATGTCAATAGGAAAGAAGAAGACAGATCTAAACATAGCAATAAAGTGCAAAGGCATTAAACAGGCATCTGAGTTTAAATATCTGGGAACTACATTTACCGAAGATGGGAAATGGGATAAAGAAATTAACATTAGATGCAGTAAAGCAAACCAAGTATTGGGACAGCTAGCTCCCCTCTTACAGCATAAGACAATCCCAATCAGCACAAAGAGACATCTTATTCAAAGCATATTTATTCCAACTTTGTGCTGCCAGTGACAGACATGGTCACTCACAACAAACCATAAAAGAAAATTAGTAACCGTGGAAATGAGATGTCTGAAAAGGGCTGTAGGAGTGACCATAAGAGATATGATCAGGAATGAGATCATAAGAGAACAAGTCGGCACAGAACCAATTCTAAATTACATACGAAGACAGCAAGTGAAATGGTTTGCCCATTTAGAGAGAATGCCTTGAGACACCATACTATTCAAAGCATTCATGAAAAGAGAAGAAGGACGTAGAGCACGAGGTAGACCAAGAACAAGTTTGAAGAATAACATCAGAGAAACTCTACAACAGCACGATGTGCCTATGGTCAAGGCAGCCAGAAGAGCTAGAAACAGAACCTTATATCTCCCTCGACACCCACAGCGGTAAAAGAGGAAGTGAAGAAGAAGAAGAAGTTATTAAAATATAACTAATGTTAACACACTGTTTGTATTTCCATTGCTATTCATCATCATCATCATCATCATCATCATCATCATCATCATCATCATCATCATCATCATCATCATCATCATCATCATCATCATCATAAACCACTTCTACCGTTAAGCGACGTAGGGAGGAATAATTTGCGATCCAGTGCACGTTGGCTGCCACTGGCTTTTGTCATGCCCTGAAGGCGTAGAGTGTCTTTAATTTTGTCGATCCACATTTTCCGCGGCCGTCCTCTTGCTCTTGTAGCTGATCTTCTGAGATGTAGTGCTTGTGATGGTATTTGATCTTGCTGCATGCTAATGAGATGGCCAAACCACTCGATCTGCTGTTTCTCGATGAATCAAGTACAAAGTGTCGTTCCCACAATTTTCCTGATAGTTTCATTATTCACTCGATTTCGGATGGTTAGGTTGGCTGCTTTTCTCAGGCACTTCATCTCGCAGGTGGTGATTTTACGTATATGGGTTTTAGATAGTGTCCATGTTGGACACTGGTAGCTTAATGTTGGAATGAATATGCTATTAATAATCTGTCTCTTTGCACTCATAGTTATGCTTCGATGTCTTAATAATGGCGTCATTTGCTATTAGCATCACCAAACCCTCATTAGATCGGTGTTCCGGCATTACATCAGTAGGACAATAGCAATGATGAAGTTAGGCTGAGGGAGGGTAAAATAAATGAGTGCACAGTGATGCCATACATGCCAAATACAACCCAACACCATAAATGTAGCGTTCGTGTACCATCGAAAAACGCACAACATGCATATTACTTTCCAACTTGAAAAGCTGAACAGGCTGAAATCCTTGGAGTACTAGGCTACACCCGATGTTATGTTAACCCCGTCACCTATGGGTCTGTAATAATAGTTTTTGTACCATTTATCCAATGTGCTAGTGGCGTGAAAACAGTTTGTTGAGTTGAGTCAAGAACTGACATCACAGCGCTCGGGTTATTTCCATACGCGCCATGTCCACATCCTCAGCAGCCAGCGCAGAATCGTAGTCTGGTTGTATCTCCGTCTTGCCTTTCCTCTAAAGGTAGTGTGCCAGCCGAACCCTCTGATCACACCCATGTGCATCGTTCTCTGAAGCTCATAATTATCTAGTTTCTCTTCTGACTTCGTTACGTGTTCCCAAAGGGCTCTGACCACACCTGAATTGGCATATATCAATTCACCACCCAGCCTGTTCATTCCCCACCACGCTGGCATGGCCTGGAGAAAAGCTCCAAAGTATGCTTACAACCCGTGATCTTGCCACTTTGTCAATCCTGTCTTCACCTTTTTCAGCATGCTTTCAGAGTCCGTTATAATTACAACATGTGTATATATCTTGTTCTCTAGCCACCGGCAAGCTGCAGTGACCGCCTCCACGTCCATTCTCAAGCTGGATGTTGTGGTCAAAAGCGTTTGCCTTTTTAATTTGTCTGTCTGCCTGTCTGTGCCTGTCTGTCTACCGGGTCTACATTGCAATATAGTTTATGGCTAGACACAAGTTTCAGACTCACCTTCCCGGACGCAGACGAAGTTTCCCAGTCCTTTGACATTGTTTCCTTGGCAGACACATTCGCCATCCACGCAGTCAGCTAGCCCTTGTGCCAGACATCGAGTGGCCCCACACTGGGGCCCGAGGACTGTGAGACACATGGATATTAAAGATAAAGGTTAGGTAAAGGTTAGTAGACTAACTAAATTGCACTGAGTTTTATTCTATATGGCTCAGTCTCTCTGCAGAATAATTACATTGCTTGCCGAGAGCGTCTAATAGAACACTACCTCTGTAGCTCCGGCGACGATCCCCAGCAATTCCACTCATGGACTGAATGGCGCCGCCGTGAGACGAACCCACAACCTTCACAGCGCGAGGCAACGCCGACTGGTAAGTAAGGGAAGCCGGTGTAATGTTGAGAACATCACCCACGGAACGCCGACTGGTAAGTAAGGGAAGCCGGTGTAATGTTGAGAACATCACCCACGGAACGCCGACTGGTAAGTAAGGGAAGCCGGTGTAATTTTGGGAACATCACCCACGGAACGCCGACTGGTAAGTAAGGGAAGCCGGTGTAATGTTGAGAACATCACCCACGGAACGCCGACTGGTAAGTAAGGGAAGCCGGTGTAATGTTGAGAACATCACCCACGGAACGCCGACTGGTAAGTAAGGGAAGCCGGTGTAATGTTGAGAACATCTATTTTACCTCTGACTCATGCTTATAAAATTGTATGAGTGTTGTTTGATGTGTTCCCCATCCACTTAAACTCTCTCCTTTCTCCCTATGTTATTATACGTTTTACATCGTATTACCAGGTCTTCAATGTGTCTGTTTCCAGGTTATTTGTTCGTCTAATACCATTCCCAGAAGTTGCATGGTCGTTTCCTTTTGCATCTCTCTACCATTGTTTTTATTTGGTTACTTTTCTTGAGGGGTCAGCGGGTTTATTTTTTTACTGTCCCAATAATGGGACGCTGGAGTCAAAGATAGATAACGATTATACAGAACTTACAATATTTCTTGAAGTATTACGCACGAATTCTTAAAATATATCGAAATAAATAAATAAATTTAAAAAAAAAATTTATGCCAAAAAATAAATATCGAAATTAAGTAATCCATATATTTAAAAAAAGGATTGGAATGGAGTGGCTTTTTACCCCACCAGGACATCACACAAGCGATAAACACCCGATGACACAAAGTGCCACCATGCGGATGAGGATCACCGTGGAGAGGTCCCAGAAACCGCGTTCAGACATTTGGCCATAATGATGACCTGCCTATATTGCGGCCCCTGGCAAAAGCCAGAGTGGGGCTTCAAATAACAAAAAATAACATCCTAAGAAGGACGTGACATAATTAAAAAATGCTTAAAAAAAGGTGAGGGCCCAAAGGGAGATAATAATAATTGTCGGAAAGAGATAGTCATCATTAATTGGACAAGTTAGGACAAGAAAGAAAGTGAAACATGTTGTAACGACTGGAAAGATTTGTGGGGGGGGGGGGGAGAGAGAGAGAGAGAGAGAGAGAGAGAGAGAGAGAGAGAGAGAGAGAGAGAGAGAGAGAGAGAGAGAGAGAGAGAGAGAGAGAGAGAGCAAGACAACTGGAGAAGATTCTTGACAGCTTTTTGTTATGACATGGTTGGGTGCCAACTCGGGTTTTGATAAATGCCTGATACGACTCTTAAATGCTGTTAGCGATCACAAGCTGTGGAAAGGAAAGATCGTCTACGTAGGCAAGGCACTTGATAATGATAGAGATGACGATGATATCATACATAATATCTACTTACGTTCATCAGGTGGGAGTATATTAGCGAGGACAGCGGTGGGAAGCCATATTAATAGAAGACTTGTCCTCAACATGTTTCTGAGGATGAAAACATTGAAGGTCAGTTCAGTGCCAATCCACATCTGCACAAAGAAACATTTCATACAAAGCATTTTAATTCCTTTTCTATGCTGCAAATGGTCACTCACAGCAAACTAGAAAAGATTTCAATAATTATGACAATTAGATATCTCAGAAAGGCTGCAGAAAACTGCTGATAGAGACGTCTGACGATCTCTCTGGCAAACCTCTACACCCCAAGGTAGAAAAGGAGTGACTAAGTAAGTAAGTAAAAAAGAAAGAAAGGCTGCAGAAGTGGTAAGAAATGATAAAATCAGGAATGAGGCCATTGTAGAAAAAGTCAGAACAAAACTAACTCTACATTATTCGTACAAAGACAGCAAATAAAATGGTTCGCCCACTTAGAGAGAATGTCTTGTGTCGCAATAATGTACACGGCATGCACCGAGTTGAGGTGAGTCGAGTCGAGAATTGACATCAAAGCACTCGGGGCCTTCCTATGCGTGCTACGTCCTCATCTTCAGCAGCCAGCGCAGAGTTCCAATACTGATGGTACCGGTCACAATTTGGTTATATGTCCGTCTTGCCTTTCCTCTGAGTGTAGTGAGCCAGCCAGGCCCCCTGGTTACACCCAGGTGCCTCATTCTCTCCAGGCCATAATAATCTTCTTTCTCTACTGATTCCGTTGCTTGTTCCCAAAGGGCCTTGACCACATCTGCCTTGTAGCGTAAGCTGAAAATGGACTGATGTGTAGACCGGTGTTTCCTAAATTTTTCGTTGTCGCGGCGCCTTTTTTTTCAATTAAAAATTTGCCATGGGGCCCTAACCTAAGTAAAAGTATGACTATTCGTGTCTTCGTTTAATCAGTAATGAATCTTTTACAATATTTCGCGTCGCCCCTGTGAAGAGGTCGCGGCCGCCCGGGGCGCCGCGGCGCACAGTTTGGAAAACACTGGTGTAGACCATAGCAAGACGGAAAGATAACGTCTGAGAAAACTCTACTGTGACCTCTCGAACATCTTGAACACATTGTTTCAGCGGCTATGGGATAAAACAATGGAGTACATAGAGCCATGGTCGTGAAGTGAGGTGCGGCGTATTTATGACGTGGAACTCAGTAAGCTAATGCCTTGGAGAGGGAAAGCCAGCGGAGGGCGGACAAGCTAGCTGAGGACGGAAAAGCGAGCGGAGGATGGAGTTTGTTGATATAAACATGCTGCATTGGTACCCCTTCACTATAAATAAGATTGCATCCCCTTATACTGAAGGACGGTTTTACTGGACTGACCATTCCATGTTAAAGGAACCTAATGACTGCCAGTGGAAAATTCTAGCAGTCAATACATTAACAACACATTTCAGACACCATGCGGAGCCCTGTGATTTGATGGCAGGTGTGGGGTAATTCCAGAGCAGTCTAGACAGTCACGTCATATGCCAGACAACCATTCGGAGGCCTGTGGTTTGATGGCAGGTATCTGGTAATTCCAGAGTAGTCCAGACATTCACCTTATATGCCAGACGACCATGCTGAGACCTGTGATTTGATGGCAGGTCTGGGGTAATTCCAGAGTAGTCTAGACAGTCACGTCATATGCCAGACACGATGTGGAGGCCTGTGATGGCAGGTGTGGGGTAATTCCAGAGTAGTCTAGACATTCACGTCATATGCCAGACGACCATGAAGAGACCTGTGATTGTATGGTGGGTGTGGCGGTCTAAAGATATAAGTCCGGGACGGACATAGTTAATCAGTGCGTGCTTTGCTACAGGTGTGAAAACATCGAACTGTATGTATATAGTTAAATGGATTGCCGAACTACTCACTAAAGCATTGATAAATATGCATGCATACAGAGTATTGTTATCTCTAGTTATAAAAACTGCTAGCTAGTTGGGGCTTTTCTACTATTCATCAGAAAATTATGTGTGAAGCAGAAGTAATTCGCCACAAACGAAGTGCTTGCGCGTTCACGACACGAACAAAAGGAAAAATCATCAAAGAAGCCAGCGGAGCCTTTGCTGCCACCACCAGTAGCTTGACAATTGAACCATAGCTGTGACGAAGACCCTAAAATGGTTAAAGACACATGAATATACATACACGTTTCCTAAGTGATTTTATCAATATGAGGGGGGCCCCGTGGCCTCGATTCTTGGTTCAATCCCCGGTAAGAAGTGGGATTTTCTCTCGTGGGCTAGGACATCTAGTAATTCCCCCTGGTCACTGGGTAGTGAGATCAGACGCCCTTGTGCATTGTTCTACCCAAAGTATTTCGGGATCCTCGCCGGTGCTACAGAGCCTGTGCACTGTGCTGAGCTTCTTTGGACTCAGACTTGAGTTAGAAGAAGAACGGAGCACTTATGAGTTACTACCAGTGTGTCATGATGTTGATCCGTTGTTCAAACTTCAAACCTGAATACAGCAAGTATCGCTGGCATTTGTGCAGTGACTTGAAGGTATTAACTCCGCTGATGAGTCTGCAGCTGGGATTGACAAAGTACTGCTGTTGTTTACGTGAATAGGACAGGCAAACAAATATTTTGTACTGCGGTAAGGATAAACTAGCCCTTGACACCTACCACTGGCAGAGACACACACAAATTACCCCACCACTTCTGCACATCCAACTTGTTAGATGATAAACTTCGTTTAAGTTAAGCCACCGACCAGACTGGATGATCTTAGGATTACTTGGCTGACAACTCCCTCGACTCAGCGAATTAAAACTTAATAAAGAGGGATTTGTTTGGGTCAGCATATTAATGAGCTCTTTGGAGACAATATAATTTACAATCGGTTAGTACCAAAAAGCCTAGGTTGCGTTTAAGAAAATTGAGGGCAAAGGTCTTAACCCCACCACAACCATGCCCTCTTCCCCACCTAGGTAACAAAAGGGGTAAAAGGGGAGCGGGGCTGACCCCTTTAGGCCTCCTTCGCTAATTAAGCTAGAAAGCATTGGGAAACAGGCAACGTCACCCTCCCCACCACCCTACACATTATATAGTAAAATAATTGAGTTTGGATGGTGGTTGGTGTGAGGGGATGTAGGGAAGGGAGGTGCTCAGGTCGTTGAGGCCCCCCCCCCCTTACCCACACCCAAACTTTGACGGTATTTGCTTATTCATTTCATATTAGTTCTAATATATCCTTCTTCTTCTGCTGCTTGGCGTTTACCAGCTGAAACTCCGGCGCAGAATTTTAGTTATTCGTCTATATCTCGACTTAAGTCTTTTTCCAGAACCTGAGTGTTGCGTCTGCTACTGTTTTACAGATAAGACTTATTTGTGTGCATCCTGCTGGTTCCTTGCCTCTCAGACAGGTGCACTCTGACTTCAAAGGAAGCTCCTAATTAGTCGACTCTTACGACATGCTTTTGGTTATGCAATAAGTCTATTCTTGTTTTCCCTGCAATAGGGCCCCGGAACACACACAGGGAAAATGTTTTACTATATTTGCTTGTCATTCAGTCACATTACGTTTTTATTATTATTACTACTATTATCATCATTAATTATTGTACTGAATTGAAAACAAATATGTATGGTTACCGAGGGTCTGTTTAAAATAGAAACTGAGCTCAATGGACCTGAACTTCCAGATAATGGTGCCTGTGTGAACAACTTGCCGCATTTGTTCCAGTCAACCCATACTGACCTAATTCTTTTTTTCAGCTAGAAAACATACATGACCCATGATAAAGCCTAAACTCAAACAAGAAACACTGGCTATAACATTTTTTTTTTGACCCAGTCACCCAGAGAACTCTAAAAAATAGGTCATGCCCCAATTATGATTCCTAAAAAATTATTTTAAAACAATAAATTGTCCTGTGCACGTTTCCCAACCGATCCACACACTGGCTGACCTTTTTTTTCATACTTTCTCAAACTGTTCTAGGTCAGAGTGGTTACACCAGAGCCGATGTCGCGTGTTCTATATTACACGACGACGCAGCTTTCAACAACCCCAAACATCTGCAACTGACCCTAATCCCAAAACCCTGCCAACGGTCTGAGCCTAGGTCACACGAGAGACTCTTTTCGAAAAAAAAGTAGTACAATGTGACACCCCTCTCACCTAGATCAAACTGAGAAAGTGTATAGATGGGCCGGAAAAGGTGAACAGGTCCAACAATTGAAATTAACTACATTTCGTAAGAAATCTGAAGAACGAAAAATTCATATATAATATCGTAATATCAACATAATTGTTTTTTATAAACTACCATTATTGACATTGGTCTTTTTACATGAATTTGAAGTAAAAATAAAAATAAAATCTCTTCACTGTAACTCATAGATGGATGATCTGTGTCGGCTGATGTATGGAATTCAAACAATGATTACATTTTCTTTCGGAACACAAGAGTGACATCATAAGACAACCAGATGCGCTATTTTTTAAATATTTTTTTTAATATAATCACATTTGCATGATTTGACATCTTCCAATAAGGGATTATTAATCCTAAGGTTGCCTTTACGTGGATCCTCATGTTCTAGGAAAATGTTGATCCTACCGACGTCATCATCATTACCATGTAGTACCTTTGCAGAACGTCGCTCTCATCACGGCTGTCTGAAAGAAACTCGGTCGCTCGCCACCTTTTTCCGCCTCATGCACTTTCACGATAAAGGAGTCACTTATATCCTTTGCCCATCTTCGTGTCGGTCGGCCGCTGCCCCTTCTTCCTGGTACCATACCTTTTGCTATATTTTTTTTCCCAATCCGTCGTGGCGCTTGATATGACCAAAATATTTCAGCTTCCGAGACAGGATGCTGTTTCTTAGCCAATCTTCCTTGAAGTTCACATCTTTCAAGATGTCAGTATTTCTCCTCTTCTTTGTCCAAGATTTTATGAGAATCTTTCTACAGCATTTTAGCTCAAAACAGACGTACTACTGTCCTACAGACGTACCAAACTAAATTATTGGCTGTCCACCTGGGCGTTTCCGAGGCCCATGTGTTGAAAAACGCTGTTGTAACGAGCATGCAAACAAGTTTTAAAAA